AAATATAATACACACACACACACACACATAGAGAGAGAGACTCCTAAAAGCTGAAGAATAAAAAATAAAATACATTTTTATTATTGTTCATCTATACTACTGAAATCATATTTTTCAAATGCGATTACATATCAATTTCAGTATAAACTGCTTGGTGATTTTATTATGATTTATTAGACGCTATAACAAGAGCCTAAAGCAGCTAACATTTGGAGTGGTATACTGTAGAAATTATTTCATAGAGATCTTTATATTCCCTTCTAAATGTATGCAAACAGGTTACTGATTCTATAAGATTATTTATTTATTTTTTTCCTTATATGCCACCCACACTGGAAAAGAAAGCAACAGACCTTTCTTTCCTCCCCCCCAAAGCATAACTCTTCAAAGCCACTTTTTTCATCTCTCCCTAGAACCTAATCATGTGAAAATCACAACGGCCTCCACCGCGTTCACCCCTTTTTGTTTCAGAAGTCGGTACCGATCCTTTCCACCTGCCTGGAATTCAGGAGGAGGTTGCCTGAATTAAAAGCCGTCTTGCCCAAGACGGAGAGGCGCTTTTTCCAAGCCTGCAGTCGGGGCTGCGTCTTCTCCTTCAAATGTCTTCTTTTTAGAGCCAGCCCCAGGGAATCTGAAGCCTTTCCAGATGCTGCCTCTGAGCATGCACAGAGGCCATATCTACCCTTCTATCTATCAAGCTGCTGCGGTGGGCCAGCCGTCCCTTGACAGCCTCGCCCGGCCAACTGGTGAAGTTTAAGCCTCACGTTTTCACAGGCCGCTCCCCTCCTCTTTGCCTTTTTCCGCCCGTGAGGCTGGGATTACGGCTTCTTCGCCCATCATGTCACTTTCCATTAAGCCAGAAGAGGCTCAGGCAGCCGCCCTGCCCTGACGTGATCCTCCCCGGGTGGATTACCAACCAGAACCAGCAAGGGAAGCCTCGCTGGCTTTCTCCTTCCCTTTTTTCGAATTCCCCTTTTGATTCAAGCCACCGGGATGATTGCTATCGGATAGAAGGAGACTTGAGGATGCCGTGTGGGCCCATGGAGCGTGGCCTGGCCGCCTCCGCCGCCCTCTCCGGCTCAGGACGGATCCTGGTGAGGAAACCCTAAAGTGTGGGGGACCACCATGTGGGAACGGTTGAAGAAAGTCCTCCTCACCCCTTTCTCCATCACCGTCGCCGGCATCCAGAAGGCCATCCGAGGCTTCTGGACCAAAAACGGTCTCCTGACCCTCTCCTTACTCTCTGTGGTGACGGGGTGCCTCGTGGGCTTTCTCCTCCGGAGACTTGCGCTGTCAGACCTGGTAAGTGACCCCCCGTGGCACCTGATGCGGTAAGGTCCTTTCTGGGGGCCAAAGCTGGCAGCTGGTCCTCAGTTTCTAAAGCTTTTTTTGGGGGGAATATTTTGTTGGCTTAGATTTTACCCCATTGTAGTTAAAATTAGGATAAATTTTATTTGCTAGTGCTTTCGGTTTGTGGGGTTTACTCCTTGCCTACAAGAGGAAAGGCACCGGTAGAGACTCAGGAATGGCTGAAATGTAGCCCTGTGGGCCTTCATGCCGCTTCCAGCCACTGGCTGCATCCCCACCCTGCCCCACAGAAACCCCCAAAGAGTGGGGCAGTCATTAGAAAGACCTCTACCTTCCCCACTATGGGCTAAGAACGATAAACCCAAAAGCCAGTGGGAAATGAAAAGCAGGAGGTGCAAGGAAAAATGACACCCTGCAGGGTGAGCCGTTTGTGGACACCACTGCCCCCCCCCAAGTTAGCAAGGAGGGCCTGCTCCCTTCGGCTCTTAGCCAGAGTGACCAGCCACGAGGGGCCCTGGAAGCTATAGCCCAACATTGCCTGGAGGGCCACAAACAACCCACCCCACTTGGTTCATGCTATAGCTGCTGCAACCCCTGCGGTGGCCGACAGGCCGACCTTCCAGCGACCATGCATCATTCTGAATTATTTTTTAAAAAGCCTCTCGGCCGTAGTAAGTTTACTGGGAAGGGAGTCCTCTTTTGAGCCAGTGGAGAATCTGTGTGTCTGTGTGTGTATGTGAAGGGGGCTTCTTTCCAAGGCATGGGTCTTGGGATCCGGGTGGATATGGTTATTTCCCTCCGGGCCACCTCCCGAGACCGGTGGAGGGATCTGTCGCCCCTCGGAACAAACCCGTGGGACCTTCGGGCAGGACTCGTGGGGCTTAATTCAGAGGGTGGGCCCGTCTGAGAAATGAGGCCAGGTTGCTACGAGACAGGCTCTTTTCCTGGGGCCACGTCAGCTGCTCTTTCGTCCCCGTGTCATCTCTGTCAGGGTTTAGAGAAGGTGCTTCGGCCATGGCAGGCGGGCAGCGATTGAGGGGGGGATGCTTGGCAGCCTCACAGCCGGGAGCTCAGCACTTAAGCAGGTTACTTAACTGCAGGGAGGTGGTGGCCTTCTAAGAAAATGGGCTCCGATCCCTTGCCTTCCTGGCAATCCAGTCTCTTTCTCTTCCTTGACTTCCAGGGCCTCCATCCACCCCTAACATAGTTGCCAGAGGGGTGGAGGAGAGAAGCATGGTTTTCTCCACTGCAGCCTGATCAGAGGTAGAGGGGGGGTTTCTGCTCTTGTGTGTGTGTTAAATTTTTTGCTAGCCCACCTGATGCTTCCTTTTTTGAAGGGGACGAAAGAGAAATGACGAGGCTGATCTGATTTTCTCCCTGTCAACTTCACCCTTGACCCTCCGGGATTATTCCTGTTGGTTTCGCAGGAGATGCTGAGCAAAACTGACCAGACCTCCCCTCCCCCCCATTCCTTAATACAACCTACAAAGAACTTCACAGAAGTTATCAAAACGGTTTATTTAAAAAAGGGGGTTTCTCCTCTCTCCATGAGATGAAAGGAGCAATAAGTAAATGAACACATTAGATTAGAATGGAGATAGTCAATGGTTGGAGGTCTCGGGCAACTGTCAAAGGTGTTTTCGTAGCGGGTGGCAATTTTATTTCAATATCAGGCCTGATTTCCTTAGAACAGAACTTGAGAAAAATCACGCGTTTATAACTCTTAAAATTCTAAGGGTTTCTGGGAGCTCCTTAGAATTTTAAGGATTTCTGGGAGCTGTAATGCGAAACCAGAACTCCTAGATGGACGTTCCAAAGCCCTCAAATCTGGCTCAGTTTTTACCTGTTCCCCAGATTTACCTGCTCCGTTCCAGCATAGGCCTCAAAAGTGCCCTTTGAAATGCAACATTCATTTAATTTCAATTTCCCCTCGAATGGCGTTAGCATTGTTTTCTGTTATTATCACTGTCGTAAACTGCCTGCCGTGATTCTCCGTCCAGTGGACGGTATAGAAATGGAACCCATAAATAACATACAATTCAGTGTTCCCATTTTGGGACTAACTGGGTGGCTTTTATTTTCACCCTATAGGAGAAGCAGTATTTCTCTTTCCCTGGAGAGCTTCTGATGCGGATGTTGAAGATGCTGATCCTGCCCCTTATCACCTCCAGGTAAGAGAGGAGGGAAGCTGGGAGGACTGGGCAAATGTTTGGCAGTGGGGCTGAGCTCTTCAATGGACATGGAAAAGTGGGCTCTCTTGGGGAGGCCCCCGTTCAGCTCTTCTCCCTCCGCTCTCATGTGGGTCGGCGCAGTTGCTCTCCTCAACAGGCCAGTTTAAAGATCTTTATTTATCTTGGAGCTGTGAGCTTACGTCTCAGTTCAGTGGATTACACGGCACCCATACACAATATGAAACCAGCACAATACAATATGCAGGATAAAAGAAATTGAATTAAACCTCTAATCAAACTTGCATGTATTGAAATTTAAGGTACACATATGGATCTAAACAGAAACGTAAATCCAGTCAGTTTGTGGACTTTAAATGTAAAATAAGGAGTCACGGACAATAAGAAGTATGACAGCCACCGAGGACCCTGACGGGCAATAATTTAGCTGCTGACTCGGGGAGTGGTTGAGGTGTAGACATTGTTTTGAGAAAGATAGAAAGGTGGGTTTAGGGTAAAAAGCCGCCCTGAATGCCACGGAGGGAGACTTGTGGGTCTCAGCTGGGCCTCCGTAGTGCTTTCGTTCTTCCCTTTCTAAAAATAAAAGAGTAAACATGCTTATGTAAGGAGAAGTTATAATTTAAGTTATAATTATAAATCTTATTTACACATCTTGAGTTTATGTCATCAGTTTGACTTGACGGCCTTGTAGGCCCTCTCTGGCTTCACTTTTCTATGATTATGGGTCTTTATTTTAACTTGATGGTGTTTGTTTGGGTTTTGCTGCAAACTGCCTAGCATGGTGTGTGCCCTACTGGAGTGGCATGTCAATTTAAGAAAGAAAGGGAGGGAGGAAGGAAGGAAGGAGCTGAACCTGAACCTTTCAGGCCTCCGTCTTCAAGCTCAGAACAGTGCGCGGGAAAGTCCTATCTGTCTGTTTGTCTCCTTCTCTGTCTGTCTCTGTTTTATTGGCACTCTCAGAATCTGGAAGTGTGACCAAAGTTGCCCCAACTGGGAATCGGGGCACCTCGAGTGCAGGAAAAGTCAGTTTTCCAAGATCCGAGGAGTGCTTTTCCACTCTCCTTTTAAGCAAGGTCTGACCCAGGCGACTGAACCTGGCCATCAAATTTGGTTTCACTCCCAGGGGTATTGCTCGCTTGGCCAGCTGCGAGGAACGTGTCCCCACGCGAGTCCTCTCTCTCTCTCTCTGCTTGTTGACCACTCTGCTCGTTTTCTCCTTAATGAGATCAATCACATGGCGCCGAGCATTCCATGGGAGCTTAGGCCTCACAAGAGGCAACAGCAGATTACCCGTCTTGCAAAGGATCATCCACGTCATGGATCTTGAGCTTCCAAAGCTGACTCCCGCCCTGTTTAGCCCTGCCAGTGTCTTGAGGGTGTGCTCCGGGGATCATAATGTCAGGAGGAAGAAGAAGCGGTTTAAAAGGAGGAAGGCCTGACAGGCGAGGAAGAGAAGAGAGAGACTCTTTTCAACGCTTTGGCCAATTCCTTTCTTAATTTTTTTCCCATGTTATCTGCTTTGCTCCACTGGAAGTTTTGAGGTGGAATTACACGTGTAAACAGTTTAAAAACTGTTAATCCTGAGAAGGTATTCTCAATGACAGAATTAGAATTAAAGAACTGTCCAGATTTTTAAAAAACCCAAAAAACCAACTACTTGAAAATGAACAGGTTAAATACAAGTAAAAGCAAAGATGTTTCAAGACTGACTTTGGGTAAAGTGGTGGACTCAATCCTCCCAAAATATTTTTTCCCAACTCTGGAACTGAAAACCTGAATCCCTTTATTTTCTTTCCTGGATAAATCTTGGTGGATTAAGTGAGAGATTGAACAGAGGGCTGATTTCATAGCAAAGGAACCATTTATTTGTTTGTTTTTAAAGGGCAACAGTCCATATGGACAAAGCTTTCTTTGGCTGACAACCTTGGCAGGCCCATCCCATCGCTTGGATCCAGGGCTCAGCCAGTCATGGTCTCTGTGCCAGAGGGTTCGTCCTCTCATATCAGACAGTAATAACATTGGAAGGGGGGCCCCTCTAAGGCCATTGAGTCCAACCCCCTGCTCAAGGCAGGGATCCCACGTCCAAGCAGATCTTCCAGGTGGTTGTCTAGCTTTCTCTCAAAGGCCTCCAGTGTGGGAGCGCTCCCTCCCTCCCGAGCTCATGGGTCCCGTTGTTGTGCCACTCTAAAAGTTAGGATGTTTTTCTATGATATTCAGCTGAAATCTGGCTTCCTGTCCCTTGAGCCCATGATGACGGGGAGCATGGAGGACAGATCCTGCCCCTCTCCTCTGTAGGACCGCCTTTCAAGTCTTTGAAAAGTGCTCTCCTCTCTCCCCTCTGTCTTCTTTTCTCAAGGCTAAACAAGCTCAGTTCTTTCTGTCTTTCCTCCTTATAGGGCTTGGTTTCCAACCCCTTGAGCATCCTCGTTGCCCTCCTCTGAACTTGTTCCAGTTTGTTGGCATTATTCTTAAAGTGTGGTGTCCAGAACTGGAACACAGGACTCGAGACAAGGCCTGACCAGTGCTGAGTAGAGGGGGACTAGTCCCTCATGGGATTTGGAGACTCGACTTCTGTTCATGCAGCCTAAAAATCTCACGGGCCTTTTTTTGCAGCTACATCACCCTGTGGGTTCCTATTCATCCTCCCGCTCTCTGTCCTTCCAGCCTAATGTCCGGTTTGGCCACCATGGACTCCCGCGTCTGTGGGAAGATGGGCCTCATCACCATCACCTACTACCTCTGGACCACTTTCCTGGCGGTGACCACTGGCATCATCCTCGTGCTCACCATCCACCCTGGGGTGGCTGCCCAGAAAGAGGAGTACACCGTCAGCAAAGTGGTGCTTAGTTCTGCGGACGCTCTGCTTGATCTCATCAGGTAACGGATCGGCCCCACTTCCTCCTCAGTCCGAACAGTTTCTTTACTCATTTCTCCTCTGTGCCCTCGTTTCCTTTCTTGAAGGCCTCTCAAGTTTCCTTTTTCCCTCCCACAGAAATATGTTCCCATCCAACCTCATAGAGGCCTCGTTCCAGCAGGTGAGCACCCCAAATATAGGAATACACACACACACCTCGGTGGGGTGGTGGCTCCCAGTTCTGCCATCTCATGATCTGGGCGAGACGGCAGCTGGTCCTGCAACCTGTTTTTTCTTGGTTATATTTTTAAGGCTCCAGTGCCCAGAATCCCCATGGCCATGCTGGTTGTGGATTTTGGGAGCTGTGGTCTGCAGAGGCTGCATTTCTCCCTCTGCATTGTGTACAGCTGTGGGGAGGGGGTTTAGGGTGGTGGGTCCACCAGCCTCCTTTGACAGGCGCCCCCTCCACTTCTGCCCTGCTTCTAGTACCGCACTGTCCTCGTTCCTGTTGTGAAGACCTCGGGCCTCTCGGCCCTGCCCAGGAAGTCCCTGAACCTGATCTACTTTGTGCCGGATGCTGAGAACCCCGAGGTCCAGCGGCCGGTGCTGCTGGAGATCACGCCGTCACCGGATATGACTTACCGCACCCTCCCTGGCAGCAACAACGAGATGAACGTCTTGGGGATTGTGATCTTCTCCGCCACGATCGGTAGGTGAGAAACCTCCTGCGGAGGACGTGTCCTTGCTTTGCCCAGGGAGCGGGGCCTTTAGGGTGTGGTCTCCCCCCAAATAGGTTAGCCTTCGCTCAGATCCGAGGGGCTGGCCAGCAGCTCTGCTGGCATCGTGTCCATGAATTCCGCAAAGCGTTCGCAGGCAAGCACGAGGGGGAGTGTCCCTCCGTGGCCACTAACCAGTCCATGTTTCGGACGGCAGGTTTCCTTTTGGGAAAGATGGGTGAGCGTGGAGCCCCGCTGGTCAACGTCTGCCAGTGCCTGAACGAGGCTGTGATGAAAATTGTCTCCATGGCCGTCTGGTGAGTCTCACGCCCCCCGCCCCGGAGCAACGCCCCGGCTGAACTCTCGGGCCGACCATACCGGGAAGCCAGTTCCTGCCACCTCGGGGCGAAACCCTCGGGAGTGTCACAGTAAAGCCCGACGGCTCAGAAGGCCACTTTGGCTCCCCCGGACTGATGCCTCCTGTTTCCCTGCTGGAAAGCGGGCCCAGCCCTTTCTGTTCTCCCCGCCGTTGGTTCCACAAACGACCTCTGCCTCTCGCGCCGTGCTGGGTCGCCTGCTCTGCTGGTTGCTCACTCTCCTCCGGCGCTCGGCAGGTACTTCCCCTTCGGCATCATCTTCTTGATCGCCGGCAAGATCTTGGAGATGGAGGACCCCGAAGTGATTGGGAAGAAGCTGGGCCTCTACGCCTTGACCGTCGTCATCGGCCTGGCCATCCACAGCCTTTGCTTCCTTCCCCTCTTCTTTGGGCTCATTACCAAGAAGAATCCCTTCTCCTTCATCCGGGGCATCCTCCAGGCCTTGCTCATTGCCCTGGCAACGTCGTCCAGGTAGGCCGGCCGAGAGGGTAGTCAGGCCTTGGGGTCCTGTTGCCGTTCCTGCCCTGTTGAAAGAACCCCTTTGGCTGGCCAGGCCTCCTCCTGGCCTGCAGCTCCTCAGCTGCCCCGAGGCCCTCTCTTTCTGTTAACGAGCGTGGCTTTTCTCTCTCTCATTTCGCAGCTCAGCCACGCTGCCCATCACCCTCAAGTGTCTTCTGGAGAACAATGGGATCGACCGACGGATCGCCCGCTTTGTCCTCCCTGTGGGGGCCACCATCAACATGGACGGGACGGCCCTCTATGAGGCGGTGGCCGCCATCTTCATCGCCCAAGTCAACGAGTATGACCTTGATGTCGGGCAGATCATCACCATTAGGTAAGGTGCACTCGCCTCGCCTGCCCTCGGGCCAAAGGGAGCCACCGTCCGTCCTCGGAAATGCAGAAAGAGGCCAAGGTGGCGCCTCACATGCTGAGGGCTGGGAGAGGGAGAGATCTGAGTGGTAGGGACTCTGGACCCTCGCGCTCACCTCTTACCAGCTGAGGTTCTCAAAATGGGGCTGTACAGGATCACTAGGAGAATGGGGTGTCATTACGGGAGAATTCTTCTTAGGGAGAAAAAGCGGGCTTGGTGTTTCTGTCGTGGCAGAACCGAAGTTCTGTGACTTGAGTGGTGGGTGGGAGATAACGTGTGAACGCTTGAGAAAATCACCAAATTAGTGAAACAATGGTTTCGGAGGGAGATCTGTAAATTGGGAAGAAGGGTAGCCACTGGTTGGGTTGCTACGATGAGCTGCCTGCTTTAAAAAAATAGAAATGACGAGGGGGTGCTGAAATGTTGGGTTTGAGGCTGGGCGCTGGCTTTCACCCCTGTGGCCGCTGTGATCTTGGGGGAAGGTGCCCGTCCCCTCCAGCAACGGCGCTCCGGTCTCTCCCCTTCCCCACCAGCATTACAGCCACCGCAGCCAGCATCGGGGCGGCCGGGATCCCCCAGTCCGGCCTCGTCACGATGGTGATCGTGTTAACCTCCGTCGGCCTCCCCACAGAGGACATCACGCTGATCATCGCCATCGACTGGGCCCTGTGAGTGCTGTGCCCTTCCCTTTCCCACCTGGCTTGCGGCCAGGCCTCGGGGGTGGGTGGGTCAAGGGGGCCAAGAAGATGTCGGGGGTTCCTGGGTTTCCCCTCTTAACTCATCCAGAGGCATTAGGGGCTTCACTGGTTGGGAGCTTTTCGTCAGAGGTGACCAATGGTCTGAGAACATGGCCCAAAGCTATACAAGCCTCGCTTGCCGATCTTGCCTGCAGCCCTTGGATCAGCACCAGTTCCTGACTCATGCACCTGTGGGTCCTCCCCCTCCACACTGATGGGCTCCCCCAACAGCAGCCTTGGCCAGGCGATGGGGTTTCAAGTTGCAGAATGAAAACAGGACATGCCTTAGGGTCTCCCCAGCATTCGGGGCCACTTGGAGCCCCTGCTGATGGGTTTCCCTTCCTTCCCGTCTTCTCTAGGGATCGGCTGCGCACAATGACCAACGTTCTGGGGGATGCGCTGGCGGCCGGGATCATCGCACACATCTGCCGGAAGGATTTTGCTCCCAAACCACCCAAGGTAGGGACAGAGGCCTGGCGCGGCACAACAGTGCCTATGTCCCCCCCCCCATGGTGGCCTCAGCCTGGTCCCGTCTCCTGCTGTCCTGGCGCGTTGGTTGTTTGGGGAGGAGCTCAGAATTCCCCGCTCCTGGGCCTCAGGGGAAAGAGGAGGAGGGGGGCTCTCAAGACAGAGAGAGTTCAAGAGAGTTAAGAGTCACTTCCCAGGCTGGTCTCCCCCCAAAGCTCGCTCTCATGGCTCTCTCACACCGTGGCTTCTCCTTCCTTCCTTTTCCCCACAGGAACCCAAGAACCACTCGGGGAAGCCAGCCTCCTGCTCCAAGAACCACGTGGTGGAAGTAATCGGAGAGGTTTTGCCCGATGGGGCCAGCTTCAACATCTGCCAGGTCTGAGGCCCCCGGGGCTTGGGCTCCTCGTCGCACACAAGCCTCAATGCGCACAACACCCCCCCCCGCCAGCGGGCGGGAAGATCCGCTCTGCCCAGAAGAAGGCAGGAAGGGTGCAGAGCGCTGTGGAGGACCTCCTCGGGACGGGACGGGAAAGGAAGGCGGCTGCCCCACCAGGAGAAAAGCCAGCCGCTCAGTGGTTCGAGGCAGAAACCTCTGGAAGTCACATTTCCCACAAACACACCATTTTCAGTGGCTCAAAAATAGAAATGGACAGAGGTCATATTAACCTTTTTAAAAAAAACTATAGAGAAGAAAACAAATTGAAGGTTTTTCCAAGGAGCTGCATTGTGCCCTTTCCTCTTTTTTGGTGGTGGGGGGGAAGAGACTTTTTTTTAAAAGCAGCACTTTTTTTAATAGTATGTTTTGTAATTTTTTTTCTTTCTGTTTTTGAGATCTCTTTCTTTCTAAAGCGTCATCAGCAACAACCTCTCTCCTTGTGCTTCCCAGAATCATAGCTGCAGTTTCCACGAATTTAAGACCGAAGATATGCTAGAAGTTCACTTGCAGATACCGGTCAGGATTTCTTTTTTGGCCAAGGGGGCAATGAATGCACACTTCATGTGGTGCTTCCCCAGGAGATCTGCCTGTGGAGGGCTCAGTGGAGTTGAGTGGGTTGTGGGTTAGTACCGATTTCCAGGCCCATACCAAGTGGAAGGCGCGGTAAGTGGAGGAAACTGACTCCACAAATTTTGGGTGAGGGTTGTCCCGTCACATCTTTAGTCACCCCAAAACAACTGCAGGCAGCTTAAGAAGGGAGGAGGGACAACAGTGGATGTACAGTGCTTTGAGATGGTGCTTTAATTTTTTTTAAAAAAAGCAATAAACCAAATGTTTTCCAAATGTGGTGGATGTATTCATTTCTTCTAGCATGAAATAAGTCAGTTTTGTTGGTACATCGCAATAGCAGGGAGTGACCACAAGAGGGAGACCCTAACCAGGTTCATGAATAAAAGGCTGCAATGGCAGCCTTTGGCCACTGGAGGGAGACTGATATTTAGGAACTGGCTGTCTCCCTCCGGTGGCCAAACCCGGCCATTGCAGCCTGGTGTTTATGAACCCGCTCTTTGTCTCCCTCTGGTGGCCACCATTTGTACAGCCTCTTTTTAAAAAGCCTGCTCAGCGTCTCCCCTCTGTTGGCCAACTTGTCACTGGGTACTTACACTTCTGAAGTGACTCCATCCAGTAGCCACACCTCTGTATTGCAGCCTGCAGTGTACTGGCTTTAATGGCCTAAGTTCAGATCATGTGTTTTGTTGCTGAGTCAATTTTGGGTGTCTGGGGGCTCCTTAATGTGAGTCTGACATGCTCTATGCAGAAAAACGTGCTACCTTAGCAGCTCTAAGGATCGCCTCCAACACGTACAAATGTCGAAGAAAGCAAGGGTTGTCTAACCACTAACCTCTGTCAACCCGAGAGCCATATTTCAGAATTCAGAAGGGATGCTGCATGTCTTTTCTGGTGTCTGAGGAAAAGGGAAATGGCAAGGGAGAAACACTTGCATATTTTTTGACCTCCAGCAATTAAGACTTAGAAAGGGCCATTATGAACGCCTTCCAGAACACCGAGCACCCCTGGAACAGATATTAGGGTAAGGAACACATATTTCAATAGAAACGGGTGCGTCATTTATTTAAAGCTGCAACAGCAAAGATTAGCTCACAAAATGAATTTTTTCCAGAAACTCCAGAGATTGCTCCAAAAGATGCCAAGAGGACTTCACGTCCTGCCCTGTATCTTGGCATCTTCTAGCTTCAAACATCATCACTCCTGGGCCATCAGATGCCAAAGTGAAGGGAAGCCACTAGTTTCCCGTACAAAGAAAGCAGCAAATGCAACCAAGCCATGCTACCAGTTAACACCGCCGTGGGTCCATCTGCCACCCCCTGGTTCTCACGGCTGCCGCCACTTCCTCCCTTCCAGATACCAGATCAAAGGCAATAACGCTCTTCGTAAGTAGCCTTCTCCTTCGTGTTCCCTCCCGTCCTGCGACATCACCTCTGCGCTTCAAGAGTTATCACTGCCCCTCTTCCTCACACTTCCCATCAGCAGAGCTAAAAGGCAGCACAGGGGTTTGGGGTGCTGAGCATCGAAGCGGCTGAGAAAGGAATTTAGGATGGCGTTGAATCTGCCCCTCTTTCTCAGGCCTCTCCGGAGGCGTACGGCCTTCTCTGGCTTGTGGCCGCCTGCTCTGGCTGACGAGGACTTTAGAGCAAACGAAAGAACCATCCACAAACACTTCCATTTTTCTGACCGAAATGCCGTGTCTGCAGCTGTCTTTTAAACCTAACGAGTGGTTTCTTCTGTTTTTTTTAAAGCCCTCTGTTTACATAGAAAGGGTGGACCTGTCAATGGGACTGATAAATGGCACGCGGTGCCCATCCTTGGTCTCTTGGCATCCCTTCTTCGCTGGGGGCTGCCAGAAGGGTGGAGGGAGCCCGACTTTCCTAGGAAACGCTCTTCCCGCCTGCTCCCTCCCACAATTTCCTGAACCCGCTGCCCCCCTGGTGTCGTCAGGTCTTGTGGCTGAAGGGTGGCGTCACTGGCAACCCAAGGCTTTGGCCGAACTTATCTATAAAAAGGGCAGAGTCCCGAGTTGAGTCTGGAGAATTGCAGCGACCAGCGAAGAAGAGGAAGAAGACAGCACTGGGAACTGCCCTGCAGAGACTTGGACGTCTCTCCCCACACACAACATGAAGATCTATGGGGTGGCCCTCCTCCTCTTCCTCCTGATGGCTCCCTTTGCTCTCGCCCAGGACAACAACGCTGGTGAGTCAAGGCCACTCTTTCCTCCCCTGCATACAATTCTTAGGAGGAGCAGGGAAGATCGGGGTAGGGGCCTCCTCCCCACACCCACACCCTGCAAGGCATACAAGGCTGGCCGCAGAGTCCCCCTGAAATGGGCTTGCAAAGGGCGCTCCCGATTTCCCCATGGCGACGAGCTGAGCCTTTTGCCTGCTTTGGGGGCCCAAATCTGGCCCTGCCTTGGGCCGCTTGCTCCGGGGTGCTTCTCTCATCAAGGTTCCCAGATCCATGGTGGGGAGGGGGGACATCCCCGCTGCCCTTCCCCCTCATTCCCTTCTGCCCCCCCTTCTGTTCCAGGAAGGACAATGCTGTGCTGCGTTTCCTACACCTCGAAAGCAATTCCCTGCAGGATCCTGAAATCCTACCATGCCGCAGATGGGCAGTGCCCTCTTCCAGCCACCATGTAAGCCTTACCTAGGAGCTCTGAAGGAGTCCTTTTTAGGGGGTGGCTCAGTGGGTGCCCCAGAGTCCCGGCTGCCCGACCCGGGACACATTCTGACTCTGGACGAGACCCGCATTCAGGACAGGTCTCAAGGGCCTCTCCAGTAGGGCTGCTCGCCATCTCAGGGTCTCCAATTCCCAGGCAAAGGGAGCCGGGGAAGGAGAAAGTAGGGTGTGCTTTTGACCCCGGGAGGGTGTGAAGTGCCAGGGCATTCGAGACCCCCCCCATCCCCAGCCCTGGGGGAGGCGGCTTTCCCTTTCCGCAGCACACCGGCCGCCATTTCCCAAACATGCCAAGGTGGCAGGAGGCCCAAACCAAGCTGGGCGCCCCTGCTTTTCCTCTATTTGGGTTGAAGAGGGGGCTCTGGAGCTGAGCCGGAGGGGAGGGGGGAATAGCAGGAAGCCGAGAAAGCTTAGTCACAAAAATGCACAAATGGTTTTGGTGGTTTGCTTTCTAGATTTGTCACCCAAAGAAATGCAAAGATCTGCGCCAACCCGGAAGACCAATGGGTCCAGGAGTGCCAGCGTAGAATCGACGCCCAGCCTCAACGTTGACACCCCTCCTTCCGAGGAAGAGGCAAGAAAGCGGCTTTGCCTGCCCATGATCAACTCCACTAAAATCAAGCAAAAGTATTAAAAGGAAGCACCTGAGCATGTGTCGAGTGTTTTTCCTTCATTCCTGCAGATCTCCACCCACACAGAGAGAGGGAGAACATTTCCCAAGCTCTGGAAAGGCAGAGAGGAAAACATGTCCCTAGAGAGGAGAGAAAGAGGAGGGACAGTTTGGGAATTAAGGAGGGTGACCGGTTGAGACGGTTGGAGGGAGGCCATGGTGGGAGATGATGCTGATGATGATGGGGGGGGAGGCTTAAGGCGGAGAGGTCTGGGCAAAGTCACCACAAGGAAGTGGCCAAGCCTTGGGTGGGTCAGAAATCCTCACTTCCTTCCCCTACATCTCCGCACCCACACCGAGTAAGTGTGAGACAAAAATCGGCACCAAGAGGCCGCTCCTCCTTCCCTTTCTCCGCCCGGCCTTCCTTAGAAGCCAAGAAAAGAGGGCTCCGGGGCACGAACAAAGGGGCTGCTCCGAGGGCATAAAAAGCAAAGCTGAAAAGATCGGGCTGATGGCTCCCCGAGCGAGAAAATGCCCAGGTTTCAAACCTTGGAGCTGTGTGGGCCGGGGATTCTGGGGGTTGTAGTCCAAGACCACCTGGACGATCCAAGCCGGGATCCTATGGGGTGGAGTGATGAGCCCCAGAGCCCTGGGTTCAAATTCCTGTTCAGTCACGGGCACTCCTCGGTGAAACCATGGCTCGAGGTATTTCACCAGCCTTGAACACCATTATCCGCGTTGCTGTAACTCAGACACATCGTTGGACGGCCCTTCCCAACAGAAAACCTCTTCCCACTGCAAATACATTCAGAATCTGGGCTTTTGCCATATTCTTATAATTAGGCCCTGGGCTCCAGGCCCTGTGGCTCAGGTAGCCGGGGCTTCCTCTGGGTGGGGTTAAAAACGGGCCCTTCTTTTCAAAAAGCACGTTATCTCTTAGTGCCCTTTTTATAGCCACTCTGTGTTTTCGCTTCTATAAAGAACCACGTCCTCCCAGAGTGAGATCCTATTTCTCTCTCTCACACCAAGGCGGCTCTATATCAAACGTTTCATTCTGCATCCCTTCTTCCCCTTGGCATTTTTATAGACACTATAAATTCGGCACATGTTTTATAGTTAAATAAAAATAAAATAAAGACCTTCTACAAACACCCTTCCATTCTTCTGAGCGAAACCCCTTTGTTTGCAGCCGCCTTCCAGAACCGACAGGTGGTTTCCTCTCTTCCCCCCCCCCGCCCCGAGTTCTCTATTTACCCAGAAAAGGCTGGGCTTGTCAATCAGTGGGCCTGTATCTTTCCACCCCTTCAGAAAGCCACCGAAACAGGTCACCGATAAAGCACGGTATCTTAGCCTCGCTTCCTTATTCAGAGATAACAGATGGGTGGAGATAACACCCCCACCTCAACCCCTTTGCATGAAATACTCTTACCTCCTGCTTCCTGGAGTTGGGGTGGGGGGGACCTGGGCTTGTCCTCTCTTCCAGCTGAACAGTCTCCCCGTGTGGGGTGGTTGGCCATCAGAGCTCCCCAAGGCTCCGGTGGAAGCTGCCTATAAAAAGGGAGGACTCCAGGGTCCAGTCGGGAGAACCGAAGCGACGGCCGAGGAAGGCACCGGGAGCCGCCCTTCATCCGTCGGCGCTTCTCACCCAGCATGAAGATCTCAGGGACGGCCCTCCCTCTCTTCCTCCTCCTCCTCCTCCTCGTGGCTTCCTTCACTCTCATCTCCAACGCAGCAGGTGAGTAAATCCTCCTCTTCCCCTGCCTCAGAGGGCCAAGGTGAGCGGGACAGAGTGGGGTTGCGTCATCTCGCTGGTTTGGACCCAAGGAGCGAGACTCCCGGGATGCAGCTGGTCGGGAGCGGGGGAAGGCTCCTTGGCCCCAGGAAAAATCGACCCATATCTTTCCTGGGGGGGGGGGAGAGAAAAGAAAACAAAACCACCTGACACTGCTGGCCTGAGATCCTGAAATGTTGGGACCAAGACAAACCCAGCCGGTGCTGGTCTTTCCCCCTCTCTTTCTCTCTTTCAGATGAAGACACCAAAGTTCAGGCTGAGGCCGGTAAGCCCTCTCCTTCTGGATGTCACACCTTGACTGGCAGCCGGGGGGGGAACAGGACACTGGAGGGGAGCTTGTAACTCTCTTCTCCCTGCCCTGCAGCCATGCTGAAACACATGAAACTGGGTTTTGAAAGGGGGCTCCCCGTTTCATTTCCCTGTGGAAACGAGCCCCTTTGGGGTCCCAAATCCAGCCCTGCTTTTGGCTGCTCCCAGTCGGGACGTTTCTCGGCAGCCGAGCCCAGAGACACAAAAGGCCCAGTGAGGGGCCTGGGGGCAACCTTCATAGCGTGGGCCGGGTCTCCCGGGAGTCCCAGATCATGCCGACGCGAGATGGACTGGGGAGGGGGCAAACCCGGGGCCCTTGGTCAGGAGGGGAGGGACCCCCTCCTCGGTCCAATCTCCTCTTTTTTTCCCCCAGTTCCAGGTGGGCGAGAAAAATGCTGCTTAAGCTACACATCCAAACCAGTCCCCTGCCATCGTCTGAAATCCTACTTCTACGTAGACGGACGATGCTCTCTTTCAGCCATCATGTAAGCCCTTGGAAGGAATCTTTTAGGTGCTGGGCCGGCCAGTGCCCGAAGGCCTGCCCAACCAACCTGCCAGGCCAACCCTGGGCCTGCTCATTCCCCCGTTCAGGGCAGCCAGGTCTCCAGGCGTTGGCCAAAGGCTCAGACCGAGCTGCCCTCCCTTCCTGAGGTCTCCACTTGAGTTGACCAATTCTACGGCGAGGGGTGGTGGGGAAGGAGGCGGCAGGATCCTTCAACCCCACCTGTCCTCAGCCCCATAGGGAGAGGCTGCTAGCAGCCCTGTGGGGTGGGAGCCGTTTCACGGCACACAAGATGGCAAAAATTGCCAAAACCCACAAAGGCGGCCTTGTGGCCAAGCCAAGACAGTCCCTCAGCTTTTGCCATTCAGCCAGAAGACAGGGCTCCAGGGTTGAGGAGGGTGGGGAGGAAACCACAGGAAGCTGAGAAAAGAAAGCCTTCTGGGTTACAAAAGGGCCCTCTGACTGCGACTGTTTGCTTTGTAGATTTGTCACACGTAAAGACATAAAAATCTGCACCAACCCTTGGGAGCCCTGGGTTCAGGAGTGCCAAAGAAAGCTCCCGCCGCCCGACTCCTGACGCTTCCCCCTCCTTCCGAGCACGAGATGAGAAACCTGTTGGGCTGTTCCATGGTCCACTCTTTTGACAGTGTGCGCCAAAACATTAAAATGGAGCCTCTGAGCATGTGTCAAAGGTTTTTTCCTTCCTTCCTGCAAACCTACACACACACACAGACAGAAAACATTTCTCAAGCCATGAAAAGCAGACAGACCAAACTTTCCCCAAAGAGGCGAGAAAGAGGAAGAGCGGTTTGCATTCCAAGGCAGGCGACAGGGTGGTGGTAAAGGTCAGAGGGAGGCCATTAGAGGAAATGATGATGATGATGATGATGGTGGGGGAGATCTTAAGACAGATGTCTCACAAGGTCACCACAAGGAAGCTTGAAAGCCTAGGGTGGGTCGGAAATCCTTGCTAACTCCCCACCATCTATCTACACAGAGAGAGAGAGAGAGAGAGACAAACACATACACACACACAACCGAGAAGGCCGGGAGGGCCAAAGCTGGGATAATTAAACCCTCTTCTCCTTCCCTTTCTCTGCCTGGCCCATCCTTCCCTCCTCAAAGGCCCAAACCAAGGGTTTAAGGGTTTACTGCCTGTGCCTGTCCTTAAGCAAAGAACACACTCTCTCTCTGTGTGTCTCGGTGTGAGACCCTCTCTGAGCAGAACAGCGGCTTCCTCCCCCCCCAGGTGAGGAAATGGGGGGTCCCCTCCTCCCTCCTCCCAGCCTTCAGGAAACCAGCGCGGAGCTTCAGGACGGATGCTCAGTTCTCTCTGGGGGGGCGGGAACAAAGTGACCCTTCCGAGACCCCGGGAGACATCTTTCCCTGGCTCCCCCCCTTCCCAAGGGACACCCACGACCGAGTGGGTGGGTGGAACCCCTGGATCGGGGAACACGAGTTCATGGCACAAACCAACGGGCTGCCCTGAGGGCCCAAAAAGCAAACCGGAAAAGGCCGGGCACATGGCTCTCCTAGGAGAGAAGTGGCCTGAGTGTCGACAAATTGGTCTTTGGAGCGACCGCCTGGACGAAGGCTCTCCGGAGGGGACGGGGAGCGCCTCGACCTCCCTTATCCCTGTATTCGGCCAGGACAGGGAGGGAGGGAGAGTCCTTTCTTCACCACCACCACCTTCCTTGGGGGGTGCTATGGGGTGGAGACCACCACCAGCCTCTGGCAATCTCCCCCTTCCTGGGCTAGACGGAGCTATAAAACCCGGCCACCGGTTTTGCCACGGACACAAGTACGGAAGGGGCAAAGACGCCCCTAAAGGAAAGACCTCCAAGGCATTGCGAGGCGGGCGGAGATGCCCCCCTCCCTTGCAGACATGTCTGGGAGCCCCCCCCAGTTGACTGGGAACACCAGCTGTTCCCAGCCTCAGGTCCCCCAGGGGCTCTTGGGTCTCCCAGAAGCCTCCGCCACCAGCTGTGCAGGCTGGGGATTCTGGGTGTTGTAGTCCAAAAACATCCGGGTGATCCAAGCTGGGAACCCATGGGATGGAAGACTGAACCCCAGAGCCCCGGGTTCAAATCCCTGTTCAGTCATGGGCATACTCCTTGGTGTGTGCATGTCAGGGGCAACCCGGGCGAAACCACGGCTCAAGGTATCTCAGATGCCCCGAGCGCCTTATTCACATGGCCATCGTTCAGCCACGCCCGTGGACGGCCCTGGCCCACATGAACAATGAGGGGCTATCATTAACCCTCAGCTCGCTGCCTTTTTGTGCTGGGATACGTTCCCAATTTTTCAGTATTTTTATAGACACGTTATATATTTTGCACATTTTTTTAAAAAAAGGAACTTTCTACGAACACTTCCATTCTTCTGACTGAAATGCAGGACAGGGTGTTTCCCCTCTTTTTTCTTCCTGAGTTCTGTTTACCGAGAAAGGGCCGGACCCATGAGTGGGACTTTCTCGTTCCGACCCTTGATAAAGCCACCAAAAGATGCCATCGATAAAGCACGCACCATGCCCACCCTCGGTATCTGAGCCTCCCTTCCTTGCTCAGAGATAAGAGATGGGTAGAGATTCTTTTTAAAACCCTTTCACACAAAATGCTCTTACCTCCTGCTTCCTGGAGTCGGCGGGGGGGGGGNCGGAATCTGGGCTTTTCATCTTTCCCGGCTGAAGGCCCCCCCCCCCCGTGTGGTGTCACTGGCCATGATCTCTATCTAAAGCTCCAAATCTGCCTATAAAAAGGGCAGGCTCCAGGGTCCGGTCCGGACAACCGAAGTGACATCTGAGGAAGGCACCGGAAGCCACCCTTCATCCATCGGCGCTTCTCACCCAACATGAAGATCTCAGGGACAGCCCTCCCTCTCTTCGTCTTCCTCCTCGTGGCTTCCTTCGCTCTCGTCTCCAACGCAGCAGGTGAGTAAATCCTCCTCTTCCCCTGCCTCAGAGGGCCCACGTGAGCGGGACAGAGCGGGGTCCCCTCATCTCGCTGGTTTGACCCATAGTGCGAGACTCCCGGGGTGCCGCTGGTCCGGGGGAAAGGCTCCTCGGCCCCAGGAAAAACCGACCCTCATTTTGCCTGGGGAAAAAAGGAAAAAAAAACCCATCTGACACTGCTGGCCTGAGATCCTGGAATGTTGGGCCCAAGACCAACCCAGCTGGTGCTGGTCTTTCCCCCTCTCTTTCTCTCTTTCAGATGAAGACACCAAAGTTCAAGCTGAGGCCGGTAAGCCCTCTTCTCTTGCTTCACAGCATCACACCTTCACCGGCTCTGCCGGCACCAGGAGCCAGGTGCAGGCAGAATACTTTGGGGGGTGGGGGGGTGGGTATGGGAGTGGTCTTCCAACCTCCCCCTCTCCCCAGCCTGCAACCGAGCCACAGAGTCCCCTGAAATGGGATTCCCCT